GTCAAAGGAGGTGAGGAATGTGCTAGTGATGGCCATCAGCTCTGGCTGCTGCTCCTTTGGGAGTCAGGCCTTGCTGTCCTGGGCTTTCCCTGCTGGCTGGTTGTGACTCAGCTCCTCATTCCCCACCTCTGACTCAGGGGTTTCACCAGAGTTTGCTGATCCCTCCTGGGCACTGGCAGGTCCCCAAGTTCCTCACCGTGGTGTGTCACTCCTGCAGAGGCACAGAATCCCAGAATCCCAGGCTGGTTTGGCTTGGAGGAACCTTAAAGCTCATCCAGTCCCACCTCCTTCCATGGGCAGGGACACCTCCCACTAGTCCAGGTCTCTCCAAGCCCCGTCCAGCCTGGCCTTGGGCACTTCCAGGGATGGGGCAGCCACAGCACTAGTGTCCCAGTTGTCCCGTGGCTGTTTGCTGGATCCAGCTCACAATCATGGAATCATTGAGGCTGGAAAAGACTTCAGCATCAGTAAGTCCACCATCAACCCAGCACCACCCCCATGGTCATCACCAGCCACGCCCTCAGGTGCCACATTCACACGTTTTTTGAGCACTTCCAGGGGTGGTGATCCCACCCCTGCCCTGGGCAGCCGGGCCAGTGTTTTACAACCCTTCCCACCACAGATTTGTCTTCCTTTCTAACCTAACCCCCCTCTGGCAGGACAAAGCAGGCAGGGCACAGGACCACCAGCACTGCACAGCACGGTTTGAGATGTGACTGCAGGGCTAATTTTAAACCTCGGTTTCCTGAAGCTTCTGAGGAGGTGGAAGTGGTTAAACTCCAGCCCAGGTTTCTCAGCCTGACCTTTCTCAATTTTAGGTGCTGTTACCAGCTGCTCACTGCCACCATGAGCTCCCCCAGCCCTGCCCAGCACCCAGCAGCTGAAAATGCCTGCAGGATCACTCTGGGACAAGCTCACCAGGTAATTTGCTGTTATTTCTCCCACTTATCTCTGCTGTTTTTCCCTCAGAGCAGTGATTTCTTCCATTAAATCCAAGCTCTCCAAGTACCTTTAAGTAAGGAGAATTTACCCTAATGGAGCAGGGCTTTCATCCTAAGGAGTTGTGTTATCTTTCACTCTCAGATCATTTATGAGCTCTCAGTGGTTTGTGAACATTATTTAAAGGGGAAGGAAGAGAAAACTGGAGATACAAAAATAATACAGTGCCTGTTTTTGTGCTGAACCTTAGAATATTCCAGCATTCCTCCTGGAGCTGCCCTCTGGGACAGCTGTATTGGAGCTTTGTAACCTTGTATGTTAAACTTTGCCTAGTAATTCATCCCCAGGCCTTTTTGGAGTCCGTTTAGGTGGCTTTGGACATGGAGTACTCCTGTTATCACCTGTTCCTGGAACAAAAGGTATTTGTGGGTGCAAGCCAAGGCCAACGTGGCAAGTGTGTGTTTGGAGTGTGGCTCAGTACCAGCCACTCAAAGAGAGGTTTGCCAACAACAGCAGAAATCTGGTGTTAAAAAAATCAGAAAGTCTCCTCCAAGCCAGGCATCCAACCTTCCAGAGCCAATTCCTTGTAAAAAAAACCATCCCCCCGATGTCAGGGAATGTGGTGGGAGTGGAAATAAACTGATGGGAAGTTGAGCATTTCCCATTTGAGGCTTTATTTAGAAGCTTTGAACTGGAGCCAAGCCCTGTGCAGAACTGATGTCAATGCTTATTTATTCAATTTGCTCTGCATGGGGAAAAAAAAAAAAAAGTAAATAGGCTCTGATAATAGTGACAAAATATTGATTGTCAACACTCATGTCCCGGGCAGGGTGGAACAAACACTTCCATCAGGACTGGGGGAGCTGAGGGCCCATTTTAGAATGATCCAGCTGACTGGGTTGCTGCTTTCATCAGAAAGAGACTTCTGAGAAGTTCCTTCAAAACCCATTTGAGAGTGGTCATTAGAGAAATGACTGAACAAACACATAATTTCATCTTATTAAAAGCCATGTGCTGATACAAGCACTTACTGGAGCTGTGCTGAGCTTTTTCCTACTGCAGAAGCTGTTTTTTGAGGAAGAGGCTTGAGGCTGGACACGAGTTGTTGTGTTTGAGCTGGAAAATGCATTTTAGGAACACCATAGTCAGAAAACACCATAATGAGAAAACAGAGCAGACAGGTCCACAGAGGAGGGGAATTTTTCACAGTTTTAGAAAACAGAGGAATAAACACCTTGCCAAGGTGCTGCCTGGGAGCTGAGTGACAAATGACATCTGTGGCAAGCAGCCAAACCTGCTCTCCTTTTGTAGGAAAAAGGTGCTGCAGTGCAGTTGGCCTCTTAAAAAGATCCCAGACTGGTTTGGGTTGGGAGGGACATTAAAGCTCACCCAGTGCCACCCCCTGCCATGGGCAGGGACACCTTCCACTGTCCCAGGTTGCTCCAAGTTTATCCAACCTGGCCTGGGACACTTCCAGGGATCCAGGGGCAGCCACAGCTTCTCTGGGCAGCCTGTGCCAGGGTCTCCCCACCCTCACAGGGGGGAATTTCTTCTGTGTATCTCCTAAATTTCCCCTTGTTCAGCTTGAACCCATTCCCCTTGTCCTGTGACTGCAGTTCCTGATGAAATCTTGATTATATAAAATAAAAAGCACCCTGGGTATGGTACAAGTGCTGCACAGCCCCTGGAGGCTCCCCCACACCCCCAGAGCAGCTTTGAGGCATTAATTTGAGGTGTTAATTAACAACACCTCGTGTTTAATGCACTGCTCTTGTTCTGGGCCTGGTCATGGGGAAAGACCCGGAGAGATCCTTGGTCTGAGCAGGGCAGAACTGATGTGTTCCCAGCAGTACTGGGGAAATCCAGGCACAGTGGCAATGGGAATGTCCCACCACTGCTCCTGAACTTCCAACAGCTCTGGTCAGTCACTGCCCAGGCCTCCATTCCAGGGCTCTGAGTTCACAGCCTTCCCTCCCAGGAGGGAGATTCGTAGGAGTTCATAGGACTGTTGATGGGATTAGAGCCTTTAGAGCTGCCTACCTGCATTCCTGGGCTGTTTTCTTTTCTCTTGCTGGATGGCTGTGCCAGAGGGGTGGGGATTTCTCTCAGCAGGGCTCTGCTTCCTGTCATTCCAACAAAACCCTGCTCTGTGTTCCAGGTGAGACCCAAACTGCCACTCCTGAGGATTCTGCAGGCAGCAGGAGCCCAAGGAGACACTTTCACACTCAAGGAGGTGGGCTCACATTCCAGGCTGTGCCTGGTCCTGCTTTTTTAGGAGCTGGGATAGGACTGCCTCTTAATTTTTCTGTACTTTGAACCCCTGCCTGCAAAATAAGGATACTTAACCTGTAGGACTGTTCTGGCTTGATTGATCATAATGCCCCTGGAGGAACTGGAGTAAGAGTGTGAAATATTATTTATCACTGAAAATCAGAAACCTCTGTAGAGAAAGGAAAGATGGGATAATCACATTCCTGAGAGAGTGTAGGAGATTCTGTTCCATTGTGCTACCCTCTGCTCAATGTACCAAAGCCTTAAAAATTGGATTCCAGTTGATGTTTTTTAACTTTCCCTTGAAATGGCTTGTCAGCTTAACCTAAGAGACCCTGTGTATTCATTTATTTTAAGATTAAAATGCAATATATGTACACGATTAAAAAAATGACAGTGTGATTTACAAGAAGATCCTGCCTACGAAGAATTAAATGCAGTGGTTTTTTATTACATGTGTCAAATCTTCCTGCAGAGCCCTGTGACTTAATTTAACACTTATGCATTTAAATAACTTATTTAGCTTCTAAAAATTTGTGCAAAAAACCCCAAATTGGATGGTTTAAATGGGCAGAGCTGAGTTTTAAGTGCGGGTTACCTGTAGGGATTCACACTTTAACTCAGCTGGGTTTTCTGCAGTGAGCAGAAAACTGTTGGCAACTTTTTGGCGACACTTCAGGGTCACTTTGGTGGGTGATGGGGGGTGGAACTTGCCTGTATTGTGCTCCAAACACTTTGCTTTCCCCTCAGGAAATTCCAGAGGAATTCCAGTACTTTGGATTGTAGGTGTCTCCTCTCCATCCTTCTTTGTGATACTAATGGGATTCATTTTACACCTGGCAAGCTGTGTCCTGAGGGGCAGCACTGTAAATGTGTGACCAGCCTTTAGGAACAGCTTGTTCCTTTAGCTGGGATGGTGCTGTTTGTCCATCTTTGCCTCAGTTTTCCTCCTTGTCCAGGGTTAATAGTTACAAACCTCACAGCAATGCCATAAATCCCAACTCTCCCTTGGCTGGGAGGCACAAGAAGTCAGGTGTGATTTGACTCGCACTGTACAGGGCAGCAGGAGGCAAACACTGTGAATTCAGGTCAATTCTCAGGGGTTTTGGGGGTTTGGTTTAGGCTGCAGGTGGGGCTGAGGGTGTGTTCTGTCCCCACAGGTGATGCATTACCTGGGCCAGTACATCATGGTGAGGCAGCTCTATGACAAAAGGCAGCAGCACATGGTCTATTGTGGAGGAGATCAGCTGGGAGAGCTGCTGGGCCTGGAGAGCTTCTCTGTAAAAGATCCAAGGTAGGAAAAGAGTCACCTTGAACCCGGGTTGTCTGACAGGGGTTGCTGAGACAGGAACTCTTGGTGTCACTGTCACTTAAACCTCCCTGTTGGTGATGGGTGTGACAAGTGGGAGCTGAGCTTGTTCTGAGGAGCCAGGGAATGGCCCAGGCACTGAGCTGCTCCAGGTGACATCTCTCCCCCTCTTATTTCTGCATCTCCTCAAACCCTTGATCTCACTGGAGCAAAAATCCACATCTGCCTTGAGTCCTGACTGAGCTTTGTAACGATCAGTGAGGAGACAAAAAACCCCCCTGTGGTTTCCAGTGTCCCTCTGGATAAGGAAAGGGAATTCCTGGCCCTGTCTCGGGAGGGTGCTGGTGTTTTCTGTGGGAACACTGACTGTCCCTCCCTCCCACAGCCCCCTGTATGACATGTTGAAACGGAACCTGACGGCGGCTGCACTCACAGGTAGGTTGGTCACAGTCCGGGCAGGGCCTTTCAATGTAGTGTTGGTATAACCTGGTAAGTAACAAAAAACCAGACACAGAAACGTTTGTCAAGTTGGAATAAACTGCTGATGAAGGTTTTGAGACGATCTCTCTGAGTATGTGTCTTTTCTGTGTGTCAGTAGCTGTGATACCAGAGCAGGGAGCTGGTTGAGTGATGTGGCTGCCTCAAATGGCCAAATTTCAGAGAGCTAAATGCTGTGGATAAACAAATCACCGTGGCTGAAGTGTCCCATCCAAATCATTATTGATTTTCTCAGTATTTTTCAGTTTCAGAGCTGCAGCTTCTCGTTCTCACCTCATTTTATACCTTCATAATCCATAACAGCACCAGAAACCCAGCGAGCTCTGCAAGCCAGAGGTCTGGACTTTAATCAGACACTTGAACCTTTAAAGGTCACTGTTGCTTTCCCAGCTCATAAGAGAAATCAAATCTAGCTCTATCAAAAGTCCTTCAGTCATAAATGAAAATTTATTCTTAAATTAATCCTGGCTGATGGCTTCCTTGCAGCCAGCTCCCATTGTGGGGCCGGTAATCTCCATTGGAAAAAATCAACTGGGAGAGCTGTGGAGTCTTGTGCCATATTTCCTGGGTGCTCTAAGCAGATAATATGGACTTAGTTCTTTACAAAGGCTCAGGCTATTTTTGCACAAGTGCATAAAAAGCTTGTGCAGATTTAGAAACTGAAAAAAACATGACCCTGAAGTGCTTAGTCCTCTGCTTTGAGCCATGCTGGTGCCTCTGAGGTCCCCCTGCTTTAATTATAAAGAAGGATCTTCTTGAGTGGACTCTCCTAAACCTGTAGAATAACTGTGTGAGTGCTGCTTCTCTCACTGGTGATGTGCTGACTCTTCCCTAAAGCAGTTTGTGTGGAGAGCAGAGGATCCCAGCAAACACTCTGCCCTGCTGCCCTGTCCCCTCTCCTTGCTCTGGGCCTGGGTGTGTGTGTGTGGTGCAGTCCTGGTGTGACCTTAAACCTGCCAGAGGGAATCCTTAGTCAGACCTGTGTGTGTGTGTGGTGCAGTCCTGTGTGGTGCAATCCTTAAATCTGCCAGAGGGAACCCTCAGTTAGTCCTGGGTGTGTGTGACTAAAACGAAACAAGCTTGGCAGACCAGACCTCGGACAGATCCCTAGGGAGGGTCACTCCAGGTGTTGCTTTTCCTTCATCCCAACACAGGAGTAACTGGAAGTGCCTCAGGACTTAAGAATTCTTCATGTTTCATGTTCTGCAGTAGCTGCTCGTGTTCATTGGCCAAATCAGGGCTTATCAGCTCATCATTTTGCAGGTTATTTGACCGTTTTTAAGTGCACTTGGAGAAGGAAAAGTGGCTGCAGCACATCTTGAGAATGAGGAATGAGCTCTTACATAGGGCTCTTTATCAGACCACCATCTGATCTAACACCTTCCTTGGCCAGCTTTCTCCTTTCCTTGGCCAGCTCCTTCCCCCTTCCTTGGCCAACTCTCCCCCCAGGAGTGACTCCCACGAGGTGTATTTAGGAATCCCTCACTTCAGGGGCATTTTGTGTGGGATATGTTGGCTCCAAAAAGGGAGCCTTCCAGTCAGTGCAGTGTTTTCACACAGTGAAAATTTATAAAGTGTTAGAAGGGTGAGTCTTCATCCATTCCAGTGTCCCTGCAGAGCCAAAGCAGTGATGGATGAGCCACTTGGCTTCTGTTTTCCTCCAGGTAGTAAATAATCAGTGGCTGCAGGAGCTGAAGGGTGAAGGCAGCAGGAAGGGAAAGGTGAACTAAAGCAATAAGGGACAGGAGCCGTGTCATCCTGTCCTGGGTTTTGCTCCATTTGATGGCCACTTTGTGGTCTACTTTTTGCCTGCAGCAACAATTTTGAGTGTCTTCCTATCAGTGCAGTGATTCATGGTGTGAATCAGACTCATCCTGTGTGCCTGGCACTCTGCAGGGAATGTCTCTGCTAAACTGAAAGGGGAGCAAGCAGGAGCCATCCTTGGATCTTTTGTTCTCCAGCCAGCCATTCTGTCTGAAGGACAGGCTTCCTGAGTGCACCTCCTATTATGTAGAAAGTTCTCTTAATTGGATTGTTCTTGCTCTTTAGCTTGGTCTTTTAATTAACTCTTGGGGCCAGCAGAATCATCTGGATTAAATTGTGTTAGGGACGTGTCCACATCTGCCCAGGAAAGAGCTGGCTGTGCATGGAATTTTCCCTTCTTTAGTCTAGTCTTTGTTCTTCATGCCCAGACCCTTTAAAAAGGTGTTTTTCCTGCCTCAGCCTGAGATGGCATCCTCAGGTAGTTATAAAAATCTTGCCCTTCCCCATTCCCCTTCTTCAGATCCCCCTGGATCTGATCCAGGTGGGATTCCCCACACTCTGGGTTCCTGCCTTTGGCAGACCTTGTGTCTTGTCCCTGGAGCTTGTCATGGCAGGGCAACCTGGAGGAAAAGGAGCAGTTTTTCCCTTTGGGAAGAGGATTCTTCCCTGCTGTGAGTTTTCCTCTCCTCCAGGGAGGCACAGCCTGTGTTCCATGGGCTGCTGCCTCCTCGTTCTTTCCGAGGAAGGAGGGGCTTTGTTCCTGAAAGGTTTCTCAGAGGTCTGCCAAGCCTGGCTCGTTGGTTGCTTGTGAAGCCCCTCTTGTGTTGTGAGAATGGTTATTACTGGGGAAGGTTTTTTCTCTTGTTTTACCTGCCATCTAGATGCTGCACAGACTCTCCCAAAGGAGCAGAGCGTCGATAAGCCAAGCCAAGACCAGCTGAAGGTAAACCCACTGCCGAGTGGTTTCTTTTGTTGTACAGAGTGCCCCTTCTCTGTACCTGTGCATGGTGGACTGCCAGAACTTTGTGCTGCTTGGCTGCCAGGTCCTCACCTTCCTGAAAAGTTCTTGGAGTCCACAGGCAGGGACAGAGTGACCCTTCTCTGTTCTCCTCATAACAGAGTTCCAGTCTCTGAGCGCGTTTCTCTGGGGTGTAGCACTTCTAGTCCTCAGTTCCTCCAGCGTGCTCTGCCTTTTCATGTCTTTCCCCCTCTCTCCCATCCCCTCCCTGAGTAGGAATTGCCAAATAACTTAAGCTTTCTAAAACGTGTGACCAAGTGTTTTGTGTCTAGTTAGGATTGTTTTTCGAGCTTTCAGGCGGGATTGGAAACCTAGGAAAAATCTTGGCACCTTCAAACTCGTCTCCAGGTGTGTTTTGGGGTGAAGGCAGCCTGATCTGGGAGGTGTCTGTTCACACTGGGGGTGAGAGAGTCACAAATACCACAGTTTTACTGCATGAATGATGGCAACCTTGGGACGTCTGCCAAGCTAAAGATTTTTCCTAGGTTGGAAGTACGTGTTTGTGCTGATGACGGGTGCCTTAGGCTTTGTCGAGGGTAAATAGTGTGTAGGTTTTGCTCAGAAACTTTTATTCCTCCTCATAACTGCTTGGTCTTGTCCTGCAGCTGGTGACTCGGAATGGAAGTGCTACATCCCCTTGTCCCTATAAGCTCTGGTGGACTAACACCTGGATTTTCCTTCCTGCAGTTTAGCCAGGAAGAAGGTTCTGATGCCGGGACCACGGAGGGGGAGGAGAGCAAGGCCTCTGCTTTGTCTACCTCGGAGCAGAACTGTGACACTTGTGAAGGTGAGTCCTGGCTCTCCTGCACCAACACAACGTGCACCAGCCCTTCTGCTCCTCCTCTGCATCAGCAAACACTGGAGGAGGATTTTGGGACACCAGTAAACCCCTGGTTTGGAGCACAATCATTAAACTCCATCAGTTTATGCTGAAGCTTGAGAGAACACAAATGTTGACCCAAGGTATTGTGTGAGAGATGTGTTTTCTGGCTGGGCTGTTTGGTCTCATAAGCAAACAAATGCTTTGAAGGAGATGGCAGGTTAAACCCCTAAAGCACATCTATCACTGAACAATGCCACAGAAAATCTTACAGACCTTGCTGAAGGGTATTTTAAGTGCTGAAATTACACTTGTATCTATTTACCTTCCCAAGGGACTCTCCTGATCACACAGAGCCCAGACTGCACTGTCTGCAGCCATTACCTGCAAACCAGAGAACTGAGCAACAATGGGGTTTTTTTTTGTATCCAGCACAAGTGTAAGACAGCTCCTTCATATTTAGACATTTCCTCTGGTGGAATGTCTGGGGATTTCTCGCTGGGTCACTCATTTGGATTTCAGATGTTAGGGAAGCAATTCTGCTGATTTTTCTGCTTTCTATTCGCAGGTTGTTTTCATATCAAGGAACCTAATTTGTAAAAGCAGGTCTTTGTGAGTGTGGGTATTTCCAGATCAAATCATATTTCCTGTATGTACAAAAGAGGGAGAAACAGCCTTGTCTGTGCCTTTGAAACTCGGGAAGGGAGAGAGTTTCAAGGTTATCTTGAAACTTATGCTGAGTTTGGGATCACAGACTAAACTGCACAGGCTAAAAAGGAGGCTGAAGCATGGGGAGTGTGGATTCTTACCTTCCAGCTTCCTGTGTGAGCCTGGCTTGGGAATTCAGGAGCTCCCATCGTTGGAATCTGAAGTCAAACCAGTTCTTTCTGCATCCTGAATCACTCAAGAACTCTGCTTAGTGGTGACTTGGGAAGGGCTCAGAAAGAAGTGTTTGTGTTTCTCTGAGTCTTGGGATAAAACCCAACCTGTACCAGTGTAGAGGCACTGGGATCACTGGGATGTTCCCTGACCTCAGTCCCTCAGTGCAGGGACTGTTTTGCCAGACACACCAGGAGCAGACAAAGCCCAGGGCTCTCAGCAGGAACTGGGGTGAGAAGGAGCAGGAAAGGTTTCTGAAATCAGATGGGGCCATGTGTTTCTCTGCTGGTCTCTTAACAAATGTAGGTGTGGCATGACTTAGACTCTACTTGGCTCTTACAGACAAAGACTTAATAGAAAACCTCTCTAAAAGCAAGAAGCCTAAGCTGGACCTAGTGTTTGAGGAATGGGATGTAGCTGGTCTTCCATGGTGGTTTTTAGGCAACCTCAGAAGCAATTACGAGTCCAGAAGTAATGGATCAACAGATATTCAGACTAACCAGGTGTGTAGACATTTGGAACAGGTGCACTGTGTCCTCTTCCTCTCCTCTTTTGGGTTCCAAGGCAATAAAATATTCTTGTTCTTTCTTTCCCCTTCCCACTCCAGGATTTTCAGCCTCTCCCTTGTGTGTTCCTGTCCCAGCCTTTCACACCAGGTGGTTGGTTACCTTTAGTGCTTTTTAAATAAACCAGACTCTCCCTGAAGGCCCTGGGAGGTCCCTCTGCACTCCAGGAGTTGCCCTTTTGGGTTGTAGGGTGGTGGCCAGGCAGGAGGGGAAGGAGCACGGAGTTGGAAGTCGGGAAAGGGGTGTCTGTGAGCTGGCAGATGGAAGAAGGGGGGTGTGAGAGCAGCCAGGTGCCCTGTTCTCCCCTGGCACAGCTGCCCAGGGCTCAGGAGGTTGTGGCTGAGGAGAAGGGGAGAGCGATGGTTGTGGTGCTGGAGCTCCTGCTGCTCCCGAGCTGAGCTCTGAGGGGTTTTTTCCCTGCTCCTTTTCCCTCAGGACATTGACACTGCCATTGTTTCGGATACTACTGACGACCTGTGGTTCCTCAACGAGTGCCCCTTGGACCAGGGCAGTGCTGGGCTCAAGGTGAACGTGTTTGACTGTGAGGAAGTGAAGGAAGGTGATACAAAGGTACCTCTTTCCAAGGTTTAACTGATGCCATGGTGCTGTGCTGGTATTGGAACCATCCAGAGGTTAAACTGTGTTTAGAAAAGGCTGTCAGCATTCCTTACGTGGGTGATGCCTTTCCAGCTCAGCCTTGGGGTTAAATGTGTGTTTTCGAGGCATAAAATTAATTTAAAATGAATCAAACCTCCAGCAGCAACTTTACTAGATGTCTGTCTAGATGCCTTCAAGAATAATAAATCACAGAATCGTAGAATTAAGGTTGGAAAAGACTTCAAACGTCCTCAGTTCCAGCTGTCATAGGTAAATGAAAAGACTCAAAGAGGAAAATCTCAGTTTACATTGACCACAGTCAAGTAAGACTAAGCCAATCCAGCAACAGTTATCAACATTCTGGAATAAAAACACTGCAAAAATGGCTTTTCATTCACTTACAGAAGTAGCTTGATTAGCATGGTGATTATACAGTCGTTTAATTTGGGTGTGAGGTGCCAGGCAGTGATAAATGGAGATTATTGCAACATTTCCACTCTCCCCAGGTGACTGAGCACGTGTGCCTGAATGACTTGGAGGACTCTCAGTGCTTAAGTGATGACACTGACACAGAAGGTGCCTCTGAGGTGGGTGATCCCCCAGGACAACATTCCCTGCTGGAGCAGGGACAGCTCATCCTACACCCACTGCTGGTTGTGGCAGGAGAAGCTGATTCCTGTAAAGGCTTCCAGGCCGTAAAAAGTGGCTGGATGAAGTTAGTACTGATCTCCATGCAGGTTTTAATAAGGTTTATTCCATGTTGTCCTCTGGAAGGAAATCTGGAGGATGGTCCTGGGCAGAGATCTGGAAGTCTCAAGTGAGCATTTTGTAATCACTCAAGTGCCTCACACCCAAAATCCCCTTTTTGTGGGAATTTCTGTGTCAGGATCAGGGATCCCCTGAGTCCTGGGGGTCCAGCCCTGTTTTGTGTTCCCTGGGATAGGAAGAGAATCCCTGGCTCATTCCAGCCCCTTGTCCTGCCATTCTCCCCTGGCTCTGGTGAGGAGGGTGCAGTGTCTGGGCTGGTGCCTGTGCCCTTGCAGTGCCTCTCAGAGGACACCCCACAGCTTTTCCCCTGCTCAAATGACAAAACGAGGTGGAAAGAGAACAAGCAGCAATTACTGAGCTGTCACCCCTCCCCACTCCCCCACTCCTCCAAAAATCCCTCATGGTGGGTCCTGAGAGACATCAAATCTCTGTTCCTTGAGCTGTCCTTCTCTTCTCCCAGTCCTGAGGCTGCCTTGGAGGTTTGTTCTGAGGCAGCAGAAGTGCATCATGAGACTCTTTGCAGCTGATAACACCAAAAAAACCCCGATTTTAGCATCATTTTCTAGCCTGTGCTGGAATAAATGGGGCCGTCCCTGGCACTGGACAGCTGAATCATGGCTCTGAGCTTGGGCCTTGCTGGGTGGGGTAATCAAGCAAACCTCTATTAATTGTGCAGATCCAACAGATGCCTAGCGATTAGTGAGCCTGGGACATGTATTCCTGACTGATTCCAGGAGCTCTACCCTGGAATTCAGAGCGAGATACTGCAAATCCAATAAACTGCCCAGCAGAGAACATTGGATTCTTGCAGAGTGCTGAAGGCTGGGAGGGAGGGAGGGCAGGAATTAATGTTTGAGATCTGCATGTGTAGAACACACAGGGGGGAGTCGAGTCCTCGTTAGGCTTTCTGAGGTGCTGAGAATCAAACCACAGGCTTAGAAACTGGGGATAAATCCCTTTTTTCTTTTCGTGAGGCTTCTTTGCTGCTTCTCCTACATAGAGGAAAGGAGCTGTGCACAAGAACCCCCTCCCTCACTGCTGGTTTTTGGCCTCCCATTCCCCCAGGACTGCTGGCAGTGCACCAAATGCAAGAAGTTCAACTCCCCGGGCAAACGGTACTGCTACCGCTGCTGGGCCCTGCGCAAGGGCTGGTACTCAGACTGGCCCAAACTGGCCCACTCCCTCTCCCTGTCCAGCATTGCTGCCCTGAAAAACAAGGAGGAAGAGGAGGACGAGGGGATAGATGTCCCGGACTGCAAAAGGACCATGTCGGCCCCGGCTGGGCCGCCCACCCGCGTGTTCGTGGTGGAACCCAAACCCCCCCCCTGCGGCTCCATCGAGTCCCTGGACCTGGCACGGGCTCATGAGAGCAAAGAGTCTCTGCTGAGCTTCGCTGAGAGTAAAAAGGAGGAAGAAATGGAGTCTCTGGAGAGTATAAAAACGCTGCTGAGCCCCTGCTACCTGTGCCAGCTCAGGCCCCGCGACGGGAACATCGTCCACGGCAGGACCGCTCACCTCGTGGCCTGTTTCAGGTGTGCAAAGATGCTGAAGAAAAGGAGATCCCCCTGCCCAGTGTGCAGGAAGGAGATCGAGATGGTCATCAGGATCTTCATGGGGTAGTTGGGCCACTCCAGGCCTTTCTCCTCCAAAAAGGAACCAACAGGTTTCTTGCACTTAAGCCCCCCGGTTTCAGATCTCAGCCAACGAAAGCCAAAGAGAATTAAGATTCCAGTCTGCCCCAGCAGGCTGAGGAATCTCTGCAGCATCCACCTTTCCATGCCCCTGGAAATGAAAGCCTGCAGGAGACAGGTCGATGCCCCAGCCTGGAAACGGCCAAAATCCTCCCCTTTCAGCTCAGGGGTGTCCCTGGGATTCTCTGTCCTGACAGCTGGTCCTTGGAGAAAACAAGGTTTGGGAAGAGTTGTAACTTCTGGAGTGTTGTTCTCCAGGAAGTCAGAGCTGTGCAATCACTGCCTTCTGAGGGGGGGTGTGATCTGAGATAGAAGTAGAGATGAACATTGAGGGGTGGGAAGGGTGGGATTCTGAGGTGTTTGCAGCTTAGATGAGCCTTTTCTCCAAGGACCAGCTCTCCTGAGGGCAGTGCAAAGGAAATAACCCCGTTTCTGATTTTTTTGGTTGATTTTTAAGGTAGGATTTTTAGGCAAGGTGAAGGTTCTCTTGATCCCAGACAGGAAACAAATCCTCCCAAACTCTTAATCCATAACTAGCTCAGGTCACAGAGAGACTATAGGGACACATTTTGCTTTCTTATTGGCTCATTTAATTTATATTGATTCTTTTTTTCATTTAAATATCTTTTCTGTCATCTTACATAGCTTTGAAGCCTGTCCAGCATTAGCTCAGCCTCTGCTCTGCCAGCTGGATTGGATTCCAACGGCTCTGTGCCTGTTTTGGGATGTTCCCAGTGCACCTTCCACCTGCCTCATCTCATCAGTCTGCCCAGAATATACTCAGTTTTGAGTGCAGTGTGGCTTTAAAGACAGGACACGAGCCTTTGAGAGGAAAAAACGACTCTAAAGCACCAGTTGCACTCTGGGGGCTGTGCTGGGTGTCAGGTTTTTAATTAAAAAAATATTTAATTAATTAAAGGGGGCTCTTTTTTTGCCCCCTCCCTGTGATTTAACACTCCAGCTCTGTCCTTCAGAGCTGTGCATGGTCACTGCTGGCTGCCAAAAACTTAGGTAAAACTCGCAATTTAAAAAAATCTCACCCTTTCCTGTGGTGACCTCCAAGATTGTGCTCGATTCCCTCAGCTTCCCTGTTTTCCAGGCTTTTTTGGAGGACCAACAGAACCTTCACCTTTCAGCTCTCCAGCAATTAGAGCTCAGTGCAGTGTAGAACAAACCCTGTTTGTTGTCACCTCTAATTCCCTCTCCAACCCAGGGAGTGCTCGTGGAAACACAGAGAGAAGTTCCTGCTCATTCCCTGGTGCTTCCTTAGGCTCTTCCTCCTTGTTTTCCCTCTCTCCACGTGCTGGTCCAGCCCCAGCAGGTCCAGGGGGGGCAGTGGGAGCCCCCAACCCTGCCCAGCAGAAGGTTCCAGCAGACCCTGACGCCAGAGCTGGTGTTCCTGTGCAAAAACCCCAGAGTAGGTGCTACAAAATCCCTGCAAATCACTGCCAAAACTCCCCAAACTTCCCATCCCCCTGGAGTGTTGGGATTGTTCCCGTGCTGGCTGTAACTGGGATTGTCAGTGACAGTTGTGCTGGCACAGGGGTGCACTATCCATGGGAATCAGTCCCCGTGGAAAAGGTGATTTATTGTTCCCTTAACTAAAGGGCTCTTAAATTGCTGGTGATGCACTTTACCCAGCTGGGATCAGCAGCTTTGCCCAGGCAGTTACATGAAGCAGTTTCTTCCCTTTCCAAGTGGGTTATTCCCCTTTTAAAGTGGTTTTTTTCTCCCCTTTCCCAGGTGGGTTTTTCCCCCTTTGCAAGTGGGTTTTTTCCCCTTTCCAGGTGGGTTTTTTTTCCTTTTCCGTGTGGGTATTTTTCCCCACTTCAGGTGGGTTTTTTTCCCCTTTGGAAGTGGATTTTTCCCCCCTTTTCAGGTGGGTTTTTCCCCCTTTTCAGGTGGGTTTTTCCCCCTTTTCAGGTGGGTTTTTCCCCCTTTTCAGGTGGGTTTTTCCCCCTTTTCAGGTGGGTTTTCCCCCCTTTTCAGGTGGGTTTTCCCCCCTTTCCAGATGGGTTTTTTCCTTTGCAAGTGGGTTTTTTCCCCTTTTCCTTGTGGGTTTTTTCCCCTTTCCAAGTGGTTTTTTTCCCCTTTTCAGGTGGGTTTTTTCCCCATTCCAAGTGTTTGGGTTTTTTTTCCCTTTTCAAGTGTTTTTGGTTTTTTTTCTCCTTTTCCATGTGGGTATTTTCCCTCTTTCCATGTGGGTATTTCCCCCTTTCCAGGTATTTTTTCCCCTTCCCAGGGCTCAGCAGGATGCATTGTGGTACTTAGCGGCACTTTGGAAATACTGTGAATTCCCCTTTGCCACAGTTGCTTCTGAAAACTCCCATGTTTTGCTCAGAGCACTTGGACTGAATCACCCACCTCTGGCCACGCTGAAAACAAAAAGCCAGGAGAGTTTTAAGCTGAACACCCCTCCCAAAATCCCGCTGAGATCCACGTGCTCTTCCCATGAAATGGGATTTTAGTGGGGCAGTTTGGGGTGAATCTGGGGGGTATTTTCAGTGTAAAGCTTTCCTGTCTCTCTGATTTGTTGTCCAGTGTACCCCACGGTGTTTACAGCGTGCATTTGCCAACTCCTTGCTTATTTTTAACTCAACTATTCCATGTCCACAAGGCACCATAACCCAGCTGAGATTTTCCTGTCCTAGAAGAATAAGCTATTGCAGTATAAATACACTTGAAGAGTTGTGACTTGCCCAGGTTGGGGCTTGGAAGAGGGGGGAGCAGGAGGAGAGGAAAACAATGTTTTATTGCTTTAATTTAAATTTCAATGAGCAGCAGTGCACCAAGAGCCCTTCTGTCCTGTGAGTGAAACCCTCCGGGCTCCTGTGCCGTTTTTGGGGGGGTGAAGAAGGAGCTCAGAGCACTCAGAGCTGTGGTGCCACTTTGTGGCAGTGCAGGTGGGGTGCTGGGAATTCCCTTTCCCGCGGGAATTCAGGTGGAGTCAGGAATGCTCTCCTTGCAGAGGGCTGGCTCTGAAGGCCCCGTTGGTGTCTCCCAACAGTTCCTCCCTCTCCGGTGGTTTTGAAGTGCAATAAGAGAGAAGAGGTCCTTGCTAGCCCTTAATGCACCCTTGAGCACACCAGTTGTGGGCACAACTACCTTTTAATGCCCAAACTAAAAAGTTTTGTCTGTTTTACTGCCCTTTTTTTTTTTTATCTCGGTGCCATTGTTTGATGATCACAGGAACCTGCTGCCGGTGCTGTAGGTCAGGTTTCCTTTACAGAAGTTTTGGCACCGGATTTCTGACTTTGTTGGGTATTTAAGTATGGAAACTGAAGCTCCCAAGTGTGTGGTTCCAGCACCTTCTCCTGCTCTGTAGTGTGAAAATGTGTTTGTAAACCCTGTGTCTTCGACAGCCAGAGGTTAACACAGCCTGTTTACTCCCGAGAATGTCTCCAACTGAAGCGCCTCTTCTCACTTACTCAGTGACTTGTTGGAGGCACATCGGCCTTTCCTTCAGCTCTCCAAAAATCCCTCCTGTGCTGAGGGGTGTTAACGAGCCAGTTCAGCCCAGACAAAGCCTCTACACAAAGGGAGTCCTTTGGAGAAGCCCCTCAGTGCTCCTCTCACCAGGCTATGGACCCTCTGCCTGTTGGGTGTTTATTCTGGAGCAGGGCTGTGGTGGGAAGCACAACCCAGCTTTGCCAGGGCCTGCTCCATCCTTCTGCATCCAGCGCAGAGTGGACCTGCTCCTCAGGAGCTGTGCCTGCAGAGGGGAAGTGGCACTGGGACAAACGGGAGTGCAGATGGAGCAGAAACCAAATGTCCCCAGAGCCATCGGGCTCTGCCTGTTCCGAGCCCCACCTTCCAGGAGAAGAGCTCTCACTGGAGGCCTTTGGTGAAGGCTGACCATTCTGGAAGATTCCATGAGTGAAGAAAGAGCCAGGGCACTGCTCTCCATCCCTTTATCCATAACCTGCATAAGGAATTCCTCGAGTCCTGTGAATCCTCTTTGCCCCCCCCGTGAGCAGTGTCGGGATCCCCGGGAGTGAGACCCACCAGCCCCAGGAGCACAGCTGACCTGCAGACAGCAGCTTTTCGCCTCTGGAAATCCTCCTGCATGATCTGTGCACCGTGACTGGAATGTTCCCTGCTCCTTTGGGAATGGGCCTGACCCTGCCTGTGGCTGCCTGGGAGCCACATCCCGGCAGGTCCCTCCACGCCTTTCCCTGATGGATACGGGCAGCTGTGGTGGCTGCAGTCCTGTTTCTGTGTTATTTTACCCCAACCAGGTGCTCTTGCTGCCCACACCTCTGTGGGGACACCCCTCCCCTGTCACCTGAGCAGGTGCTTCAGGAAGATGCAGCTCCTTGAACCCAGCAATGATTTGGGGAGTCTCCAACTCCTGGAAGACACAACCACGGCTGAGCAGCAGCAGGAGATCCACGAAGGCAGCAGGAACACGTTGTGCCTCGGGCAAAGGTAAAGTCTGGCTCTTCTGGGAAGAGTGATGCCTTCCTGGATGTCCCCATCTCCCTTCCCTACAGCCTGGTGTTCCCAGGCACGTTTTCCTTGTTAAAGAAAACCCCCTCGTCCCACTGTGCCCCCAGCAGCCGCTGCAGGGACGAGCAGAAGCTCTTGCTGAACATCACCTGTGTGTTTGCACTATTTAAATGAGGCCTGTACCACAGAATTGACCCTTATTTTTTTTATGTCCTGCAGATGATGAATTTAATTAAATCGAGCTCATTCTACGATCCCACAGGTTTAGTTTTCATTTGTTCTGCGTTCCGGGGGAAACCCTTCAGGAAAGGCCAGTTCCTGGTGGAGCAGCCTGGGATCCTCCTGTGTGTCCTCTCCAGGGAGGGAGGGACTGTCCTTCCTGGGGTGTGTCTGCCTTGCCCCAACGTCTGTGTGTGCAAAATCCAGCAGGAACAGCAGCAGCTCTGGATTCCCCCCCGGGCCAGCCTGGCACAGCCCTTGCTGGGTTGTTTTTCAGCCCGTTCCCAGTTTCCCAGGAGGGCAACCACCACATCGCTGTCCTGTGGCAGTGCCAGGAGGGTTTTTTTTACCCCTTTTCCAGCTGTTCTAACGTTATTTTCTGGAGCAGGATGGCAGCAGCCCTGGAGGAGGCAGGAGTTCACTAGATGGCACCCACTGGCTGTGCATGGCACGGAGCCCGTGCTGGCAGCTCCCTGCAGCCCTCCCTCCCTCCAGGCTGCACAGACCCACCAGGAAAAGGCACTGAGGGACAATCCCGTGGCTGGGGCTTGGTTTTCCTTGTCCCCCTCTGTGTGGGGACCAGCAGGCTGCGGGTACTCAGCCCCTCAGGCCCCAGCAGGGATTCACCCCAGCCAAGGGGGAGATGCTGCTCCAGAAGGAAAAGCATCTTGATGGCTTTGTAGGAACAGAACTCCACCTGTGGGAGAGCCAGAGCTGGTTCCCCATCCCTGGCAGGGATCCCTGTGGGCAGAGCTGCTTCTGTTCCTGGTGCTGCCCCAGCCCAGTACCTGCCCATGTTCCCAAAGCAGCTTTAGGGCTGGTTGGAGCCCGGGATTGCCCCCAGCACCGTTCCCATCCTGTCCTGCCAGTCCTGCAGGGGAGTTCCTGGCCCTGCCCCAGCAATCCTGGGCCTCTGGACCCTTTCCTGGCCTCCTGTTCTTGAAGCAGCTGAAATCTCCTTAACCTGAGACCCCCCACGGGTGGGAACTGGCCCCACATCCCAGGGGCTGCTCGGAATGGGGGGGTTGGAAGGACCTGGGCTGAGACCCCGCTCTGGGCAGTGGGGGCACAGAGGAGGGGGAGGCTCTTAGAGCTTTCCAGAAACCTTTTTGCTCCTGGAAAGCCAGAGCAGGCTCTGCCTCTGCAGCTCCATTTAATGAGCCCCCAGAGCTGTCCCCGAGGGAGGAGCTGGGCCCTGGTGCCCACCAGGGCTGGCACTGCCCTGCACAGCCCCACAGCCCCTGAGATGGGATCAGGCAGGGTTGTTATTGGCCCAGTGATTTAGGGGGATGCTGTAAATGCCAGGGAAATGTTGGCAGAGCTCGGGAGCAGCTTTACAAGTGGCAGCTCTTGTTGGGCTGCCTGGAAATCCGTGTTCTGCCTAAAATCAATACCCAGTAGAGCAATGAGTGCCTGGGCAGGGACGTTGCCTTGCTCAGAGTCCTGCTGGCTCTCCAGCTGTGCTTTGGGTTTTATCCCAAACCAGGGATGCCTCTGGGAAGCTGGGAAGCTTGGGGGGCTCCCCCTGTCCTTGGGATGGGCACAGCCCTGCTCTCCCTCTCCTGCCTTCAGAGCCCCACTTGGCTCTGGGAGGGGCTTTCCCCCCGGGGTGCTGAGCTGAACCCCCACCTACAACTCAGTTTTGGGGTTTCCCATTTTTTCTGCTCACAGGAGTCCAAGTGCAGCCCTGGGCACTCGGTGGATGCCAGGGCAGAAGGCTGGTGCCTTCCCCAGCTGCCTGGAAGAAGCACTTTCTCCTGCCTTTGCAGGATATTTTATTTATCTCCTTGATGACTTTCTCTGGATTTAATGCTCTATAGGTGCCACTTTTATCTGTCTTCTCCCTCCTTCCCCTCAACCTTGTTTGTGCAATCAGTGCCCAAATTAAATATTTATGGTGTTCTCTGTACTGGTGAGCTCCCAGTTCCCTTCCAGTGCCAATTAAAGATTTACTAGGTGGGCATCAGCACTTCTGCAGGGCCAAACCAGCCCCCCCTCGTTAGAGTTTTTAAGTGCTTCATTATGGTAGCTGAGCAGAGCTCACCATAAATGACATTTCGGGCACTCCTGGTCCAGCCCTGCAGGGCTGAGCCCCACACGGTGGGGTGGGAGGAGGAG